TGTATAATCCACCACTGTTTCAGTCTTTCTTCTATACATGTATACCCTTTTGAAAACAGATAAACAAACAAAACCCATCACAATCCTTTTTCCCTGTCTATATGAACTTCCGGCTTAGGTCCTGCCTAAGCCCCAACCTCACCTCCTCCTATTCCTTCTTCACTCCATGCTGGCCACAGACTTCGCCATGTTCTCCTCTAGCTCATCCCTCTTCCAAGGCATCCTCCATATTTCAGCTTACTTCTCCCACAATCCCTTTTTGAAACCATTGGAACACTGTGCATGTCTATAGGCGTTAGGTGAGCATCATCCACAGCACCTGAATCCAACGTGTTTCTGTAGACTCGCACACAGGTTTTCACACATATATGTCATGTATGCACATGTTCATGCAGGTATGTGCATGTGTTCAGACAGTGTTATGTGCACCTCTGTGTATATGTGTGGACTTATTAAAGGGGACCTATTTACACAAGTTTAGAGCACAGGCAGTCAGGTAAGAAGCCAGGGTAAAGGGCTGAGTATCTAATTATCAAGGCATGTTTTACCATCTCATTTGAAAACTTCACTCACCCAAAATAATCTCTTTTGAATAAATAAAAACTTAAGTAACTTTGAACCTTGTATTTCAATGATAAGCTCCCTTTAAAGATGCACACAAAACAGTACTGAGTATCAGGAAAAGGTCTGTGTTGCTGCACAATGACTGCAGTTCCCCTTCCTGCTGTGTAAGTTCTTGAGAGCACTTTCCTCGTAGCACGCATAACAGGAGTGCAACTGTGGGAAAGGTGGCACAAGCTAGCCAAGCTGATCCGTCACAGAGCCAGAGCAGCAAAGCTGTCAGCTGTGTACTTGCATTGCACTCATCCCAGAAAGCAGTCACAGAACCCGGCATTTCCATTAATATTTTCGGGAAGTTATGTGCTATCTCAGGGCAAGTGCCATAGCTATTCCACGACATGATTCCCCATAACAGCGTGGTGTCTGCTCAACAAATATCCGATGAACAGGCTCAACCAATATCTGCTGCAAACGGGCCATGTGAGTGCCGTCTACAACTCTGTGTCAGCTCTATGTGACCCGAACCTCATGAGGCCAATAATCTCCAATTAATGAGTAGATACATAAATGTAAAACCATTTCTACTTTAGTTCATTCCTTTCCCATCTGTTCTTCTAGACCAACATGATCACGTCGAGGGAACAGAAGTCAAAATTTAAGAAGCAGAAACAGATCCAATAACTGATTCATTCAACCAATGCTGGCAGAGACCTACTTCATGCCAAGAGCTGCGCAGGAACCTGCGAAGTAAAGATAATGTGTAACACAAGCCCTGCCCTTGGGTGGCTCAAAACATGGAATAAAAGCAGACAGACAGGTCAGATTGCTCATTAAAGTCTCTGAGAGCATGCAGGTTATCTACCCAACATAAACGAAATTAGGAGTGTAAGAGATTAGGTGTTTTCTTTGCTGAGAAGTCAGAGAAAACAGTATAGATGTGAGGTCTTAAGAGTGTCCTCCTCTAACTTGGTGCCCATGGCGGCAGAAGGTACTGCTGATAAAGGGGACAGAAGAACCCTATTTCTTTGTGTTCAGCAGTGCACTGGAGAATGCTATGTAGAAGCAGTTGCATGGGGAGCTCATAATCCCATCATTACGACCATCGGGATCTCTGACCCTGGCCTGCTCCCTACATCTTTTACCACTATCGAACCTCTGCGATTCCGCACTTAGACCTTCATGATTTTCCCCGACATAATTCAAAGATATGATGCTCAGTCTTCCTCTTCGGTTCTGGTACCCAAGAAGTTACTCTTTCCTACACACTTTGAGAGTCACGACCTGAGTTCCCAGGGCAGGTTCAGAGGACATGATCAATTTTTATTAAATAAATGAATTAAAATCCTTTAAATCAATGAATAAATAAATATGTATCAACTGTGCTTTGAGGCAATCAAAGGCATATGATTCCTGTCCTAAAGATGTTTTTAGCTAATCCAGAAATTCCCAACTTTAACTACAATGAGCTAGATGCTTCTTTATTGTCATGGCTTCTCCGTACATTATAGGAAATTTATCAGCATCTCTTGTTTCTTCCCATGCCATGACATAACTACCCCAGTCCTCCTTCCCAAACTGAAGACAACACATGTCTCCTAATGTTGCTAAATGTCCCTTGTGGGGCAAAAACCATTCATAGTAGGGCCGGGAATTTAGCTCAGTGTTGCTCCCTCCTGCCTTGCAAGAGCAAGGACCTGAGTTCGATTCCTGCTACAAAAAAAAAAACAGTCAAGAAGCATTGACCTATTTGTCTATTTTGGCTGGTATATTTTATATATGCCAATGGCTTCTTCTGATAAGTACAGTAAGTTTTCACAGAGTTTGTAATGTTTTCTCATAGGCATAAATAATATTAATTAAAGACTATTTGCCTGACAACTTGTGAAGGACTTGCTGCTATCAATACCATTTCTCAGATAGGAAATTTAGGGTCAGAGCATTTAAATATTTTCCAATAGAATAGAGAAAACAAGAAGAGAAGCTAGAATTTAAATCCAAATTATCTATCTTTAAAGTCTCTTAGACACTCTCATACACTATTTCCCACGCAAATAAAGTCAAGACTGTCAGAATAGGTTTATAGGGATTTGAGAGAACCTGTTAAAAATCTCATCTAACTCAGTTTGAAAAACAGAATCTTCAAAAGATTCAATGAGTTGCCTAAACAAATATTGAGGGTTGAGATAATAATATATCAAAGTCAGAGACACATTTGCTGAGATGTCTTCTCTGATGGTCAACCCAGGAGCTGTGTTAATTTTTTTGTGGGAGACTCTGCAGTCCCCTATTTCTACCACACTGATCATTTAGCATCAATTTATCCTGAGACCGGAATGTTCTATTAATCTAGGAGCAACTTCAGCATAGAAACATTTTTATTCATTTTTCCTTCAAAGAACCACCATTTTGTCACACACATTGTACAAATTCAATCAAAGCTGGTTGAATGAATGAACAAATAAACAAAAAATGCCAGATGGAAAGAGAACTGTAAACATGAAGGATAGGAGCTACAAGTGGCTTCTGGCTGCCCAGATACAGATGAAAGCCTGTCAAGTTAGCCACTTAAAGGAAGTATTTTCTATTATCTAGACAGGAAGCTGCTCAGAACGCTGTTCATAGATTTAAAGCAAAACACAAAGTAAGAAGAAATTGGCCCCAAATCAATAGAAATCGCCTGTTCTCTCTTTGCAGTTTCATAATTCAGGCCATGGCTGACCCAAACCACCGAAGTCAGTTCCATTGCCATTTAGGACTATTACCTGCCTTGTTAAATATTCAAGGCAATGCCCCTCCGGATAGGACACAAGCACTTTAACACCACAGATTGATCTGCGGCTCCTTTGTATGTGCAGCCTGCTGGAAGACATTACAAATCCAAATCCTGCTTTCTCTAGTTTCCCAGACTTGGAGCTCTGCAGCTAGGGGTGGTCAGGCAGCTTTCTCTGACCGTACTGCCCACATCTCTGGACTCAGAGAATTGTTTTTTGATTCCCAGGATGAATTGTGCACTTGGAGGATTTCTGCATGCATCCTTCTCTCTGCAATTTTCCTCTGTCTTAGATGATTAGACAAAGGAATGCTCTTTGGTGCAAACCACTTGAGTGCACAGTTATACGTAATCTTGATGAGGCACCTGAAATTGAGAGATGGGTAAAAACCTGAGCACATTTCCTTAGGAGGTTCGTGCAGAACTGAGATTCGCTCAGGAAATGTTAATAGACAGAACAAATTGGTCAGGCTGAAGAGCTAATAGGTCAGGTGCTGCAAAGGAATTAGAGAAAAGCTCACTAGAAGCACTAACCAAGCAGGCTACAGCCAGTTGAAGAACACTTTTACAGACATTGTAGTTATTCAGGGAGACTGGGATTAGCCCTTCATTCATAAATGACTGCTTTCATCAAATATTATTGTATGCATGCTAAGTACTGAATAATACGCAAGTGTCTGGTGATAAATAATGAATCAGAAAATAATGAATCGAGTTCTGATTTTGAAACTTAAAATTTTTATGTTTGCTTTACATAGTATTAGGAAATAGCAGGCAAGAAAAGAGAGATCAGGCTAGCATAAAATGGAGAAAATGTATTAGATAATGCAATGAAATATAGTTTCACATAAAATTTACTATTATACAGTATAGCATATATGATTATGTGTGATATCATATGATAAGTGTTTTAGTCTGCTCAGGCTGCCAGAACATCATTCAATAAACTCCATGGCTTTTCTCACAGTTGTGGAGGCTGAGGTCATCATAGCAGCACTGGGTTCTGGTGAGAGCTGCTGACAGAGAGGGGTAGAGGCAGAGCACATGCAAATGTTCTGATGTCTCTTCCTATAAGGAAATACTCTCAGCACAAGGACTTTCCTGACCCTCATCATCTCCCAGAGGTGCTGCTTCCAAACAGCATCCTGGTAAGTAACACACTGAGGGTTAGACATTCAGCATAGGAATTTGGGAGACATACATTTCAGTCCATAGGGCTTATAATTGGATATGATTGACACACTATAAAATTATACACCAAATGGAGATTACTGACTGAAAAAGGATCAGGTGAAATAAGGATCCTTGCAAGAAGTACCATCTAGGAGTGGGTACGTATTCAAGCTCAAAGGAAAACATGGATCCAGAATCTAGAAAATGATGCAAAAAGATCCTGAATAAATGTAGGAATGGACAAAGAAGCACAATGGGGCAGGAAAGTCCCATTGCTGAGCTCATAGGCTACAGGGTCAGGCAGAATTGAAGCATTTAACAGCTATGGACAGGAACAAATAGGTCAAACTATTTGAGTATTGATTTTCATAATTACAAAGTGGAAGGAATAAAAATTCAGATAGTGTGAAAATTTCAGGAGGTAATATACATAAAGAGCTTCACTCTGAAGATGTCACAGTATAAATGTTTAATAAATGGGAACAACTGCTGGTGAACTACTGACAATACCCTACCGGCACGCCCTGTTGTCCCCTCATGCAGGCTGTATCCTGCACCCAGCCACCTCCAAGGCCACCACCCTGAGCCAACTCGCTGATTTCCAATGTGATCTTGGGTCCATGATTTAAACTTTCTATACCTTGGTTTCTTCAGCTGTGAAATAGTTACAATGTTAGCATCGATGCTGTGGAGATACACAATTAAAATACACAGAGTACTGTAAGAAGCCTAGACCCTAGCATGTGCTGAGTACAAAGTCGGTGCTGCACCTGTCATCATTGTCGCTTGTCTGTATCTTTACTTCTCATCTACTCATCCGCTCCCATCCTTCCTCCTTGGGTTTCTTCTCACAGCAGCCAGAAAGCAGCTCTATCAATATATAAATCATATTACTTCCTCTCCTGCTCAAAACCCTCCAGTGATTTCCCACTAATCCGAGGGAAAGCAGTCTCACCTTGCCCTGGGCCCCCTTACGTCACTGCCGCATGTCAGCATCTCAGTAACTGCATTTCTCTCTTGCCTGGGCATATTCATGGTCGGTGTATTCACTCAGCTGAAGATCTCTGCTTAGACATCCCATTGGCAGGAAGACCTTCCCTGATTGATTAACCGAAACAAACACCACCCCAGCACATGCTGTCACCCTAGCCCTTCCCGACTTTCTTTACCACCTGATGTGTTGGGGATTTATAGTGACAGTCTCCCACTGCCTTCTGTCCCCATATATGTAAGCCACCTAGGGCGGGGCTTTGTCCTGTCCACTGTCATTTCCTCGGGAGCACCAAATGTGGTGGGCACGTAGCAGGAGTTCAATCTTCTTTGCTCAGTGAAGAGTCATTTTAGGGACAGAGAATCTCCCTGATGGACCCCATGAGTGTGGAAGTGCCCCTTTCAGGGTGAAATGTACCTTGGCTCTTAACCTGGTTGACAGATTTCTGGGCTCAGAGTCCCTGAGCTATATATTGTCCTTGCAAGCAACGTGCTGCGAAATTAGCAGGACAGTTCACAGAAGCAGAGGGCAAAGTAATCTGCATTGTTTAGCAATTTAAGCCTTACCTTAATGACCCAGTAAATCTCTCTGGGAATCTGAGTGTCTCTAAAATATGGTTATTCTGCGATATCGCTGACTCTGGCAGTCTCTAGAGGGGTATTATTTGTGAGCAGTTTAGGACGGGCCTTTTGTAGGCAATTTTATGTTCCACTTTAGGTCCAGGCACAAGGGAAGAAGGTGTATTTCTCCTATTTGTCCTGCCTTTCATCCAGCAGAGTGCAAACCGTTCACAGGCAAGGTGGGACTGTAAATTTGGGAAAGAAAGAGAGGGAGGGAGGGGGAGAGAAGAGAGAGAGAGACTTGGAGAGTGCAGCTTCTGTGCTACTATGTTAACCATAAATGTCAGGCAAGGGGACTTACAAAGCTGTGATTGTTAATATTCACATCAAATGTTGAAGGTTGTCTCCCCACAGTGTTTCTTCCTTACCTTCTTACTCAAGGGCTTCATTTTCAACTTCACACCTACTTTAGTCACTAGCCACCCAACCTGTCCCTGTGTAGTCTTATCCTGAGGACTGAGCCATCAGGTCTTCTATTGTGAGACAGTTGCCTTTAAAAGGCACTTAAATATTGCAGACAACTTGAAAAACAAGTTTATTACAAGGACGTCCCATCACCTGCACTTCTTGGCATCCACTTAGCTCTTACCTGAACTTCCGCTCCTATGCATGTTCAAGCTCAAGGAAAATTCAACTCCACATCTCTTGCTCTGTGTCCTGGAAACAAAAGTTTGGTTTGCTCAGATTTTTTGAGGCTTTGCGTATAACTCACTGACAGTGTCAGACACAGGTGCTGCAGAGCCTGGAGCAGTAGAAGACTGGTGAACTCGTGCAGACTTTCCTCACAGACAGTAGGAGCACAGCAAGGCTCTGCCTAAGTGTGTAGCACATCCGTATACTTGAACAGCCTCATATCCTATCTAATAGTTCTAGAGGAAAGACATGACTCAGTGGCTTTTCCCATCAGTTTCACAGGGTTGCTAATGAACATTTTCCCAAGTTAAACTATTCTTGTACCTCTGAAAGTTCTCCTGTATCTGGAAAAGGCACAAAGCAATTGTTTACATTGGTAACTAGGTAGACATTTATATGTTAGAACAGAAAAAAAAAGTACTTTAAAAGAATTAAGCTTTAATTAAAGTTTCAAACCAAATAATGAAGCTTTATTTAAACATTTAAATTTAATATTTGGGATTTTTATATCATTAAGTAATTATAATTTGAATTTTATTTTAATTTCAAGATATTTGCATATTTATGAAAATTTCTAAAAGCAAGTACAGTTAGTTTGCCTTTTAAAGAAAATGTATTAAAACTTTGTAAACTGAATGCCGATAAAGCTTAGGCTTTGATTGCTAAAATCATGTAGAATGAACATAATTTTAGATTTGATAGAATCCAAGAGGATGACAATTTAATCTCAGTGAAGAAAAATTTTGAACAGAAGAGATAAAAGAAAAAATTAAAGGAAATTTGTTCAAAACTAGAAATACTAAAAGTAACTAGACTTCCTCGGAAACCACATAAATTGAGCGACTTTTGCACTGCAAATTCTTGATGTAAAGAAGAGTCGATTATTAATCAAAACAATGAAAACTAGCAAGGAAATTGTTCTCATCACCTCTACAATCTGAACATATCAGATGAAATCAATGCACCTTCACTCTGTTTACTGAATTCAAACATAAGTATGGACCAAGAAGAGAGACTTCACAGGCCTCCATTTTCCCCTTTTGGCGGAGCCCTGAGAATCAGGCTTTCTCATGCTCACGGCAGAGCAGAATGATACAGCCTCAGCTTGCAGTTGCCTCCTTGTCCCCAAGTCCATCACAATCTTCCTTCACATGGTGACTATTCGAGGGAAAAGGACAGAGTGCTGCAAAAATGACAGGTATGGGCAGGTTGCACGTGTTAAGGTGTCTGATTAAGTTAGCTCTAAAATGGCAAGCAGAACTTTCTCTGAGACTCTGTCCTTCAGTATTTTTGCTTTGTTTGGCTTCTTTAATTTGAATTCCATTTGCATTGAGGATGTGATATATAAAATTCTCTTCCAAGTATGATGCTTTATGTACTTTATCTTATTTGTTTCACAAACAAGCCTATAGAAGAATTAATTTCTTCATAGAAAGATGAGGAAACAGAAAAGCTGCCATTAAATCAAACTACCTTCCATGAAGAGTAGCGGGTGTGCCCAAGCACTAACTTTTCCAGATTATTCCTGAGTGGAACAATAGGTTGTCCCCTCTTGAAAGAATATCATTTCGTGTTATAGCATCAGTGTCTCTTCCTTGCCCAATATGTGAGCTCTTCGAAGCAAGGGTTCCATCTTATTCGTCTGTGCATCCTCTGTGCCCACAATGGGGTTTATGTTTCTGAGTAGTTATGTAGGTTACTTGGTAAGTGAAGAATGAAGATGGAGAAACGAATGCAGGTGGGGCAATATATGGCCTTTATCTTATGGGAATAAGGAGTCTACCTAAAGGTCTTCAGGAAACACAAGATCTGTTTGGGAAATCTATGTGCTCCCCCTCCCTGTATTCTTGCTTTGGATCATCTTATAAATATCAAGCAGAAACACTGTCACTTCTTCCATTCCTCCATTCTCTTTCCAGAAGGAAGTGATTTGTCTCACTGAGGGTACCGGGACGAAGAACCAAAAATGTCCAAGATGGCCCTTTCTGGGCTCTCTTTTCTCCCACCACTCCTCATAGAACAGCGGCTTTCTGGCCTTCATCCTCCTAAGGGACAGACATGATTAAAAGGTTATAGGTGCTTTCTAAAAACAAATCAGGAGGTTCCTTTTTGTGTGCACTTTCAGCCTTCTGGGCTCATGGATGTGAGGACATCCTGATGTACATGTGGCAGCCTGGGCAAATATCTGATACGCAGGCTCTATGGAAAAGACTTAGAGAAAGGAGCAGAAAAATAGATTCAGACTGCAGGTCGCAGCCCGATTCCCTAATACACCATAATCAAAAACAAAGTCAGTGTTTTATTTCTCTTTGACTTTGATGTATGTGTCTCAATAGGTTCTGATCTTCTAAGTGGGAAGAGGTTAAATAAAATCCTCTTTATCAAAATCTGTTTCTTTATAATTCCCTTGTAGGCAAGAATGATTCATTCAGTTCAAGTTTTACCATGCTAGCCATCAATGGGACAGTGCTTCTCCCTCACTTTATCTGGCCCAATTTTTAGAGAGGTCTCCTTTATTCCTATAGTAAAATACACTCCTATTTTCCTTCACAACCTTGGCTTTCGCTGGTCAATAGAGTCGTGCTCATCCCAGTATTAGATTAGAATATCACTTGTTCATTGCCAGTCTTCACCATCCCTGGATTCTAAACACCTTAGAGTAGGGAGTGGAAGACCTTTTCTCTCTCAATGTACACTGCATTCCTTGCAGCTAGACTAATAGGATTTAAAAGACCCCAAACTTAAACAACATTGTTAAGTCAACATATAATTTAATATCCTGAAATTTTCTTAATGATTAGAATTACAAAATTTACTCAAAATCCTTCAAGAATCTAAACTGGCATTTTAAAATGTCAATTAACTAAGCAAGCTGGTGAGACATACCAGATCAGGAACAGGCTTGGTCCAGAAATGTGAAGACTCAGATTCTGGAGACACTTGTATCTCTAGCTTGAGATAGAATTTGAGAATGTGAGCTCCTTGGGGGCAAGACTCTAGGCTCATGCTGTCTATTCTAAAGGCATCCCAGGATTTTTATAAAATCAGATGATGCTTGATTAAGAAAATACAAAGTCCATTTTCTTCTTGTCATTCCACTTTAATGAGGAAGTTGAAAATGCAGAGACAAATCAGCCTCTTCAACTATACAATGGCAAAACCAAGGCCAGAAATGGGAGTTCTTATTTAGCAGTTAGCTATTCTATGGGAACTGGAAGCCAGGTGGAAAGATCCCCTTTCCTTTCTTTTCTCAACATACATCTACTCTCTCGTTTTTCTAATTGTTTAATATGCCTACTTTCACTATAGACTTTACCCTGCACACACAGTGGCCCCTTCACCCCAGTTGTTCCTTCCACTTCTACAACACCTATGAGCATCATTTGTAGTGTTCCTGCATCTGTGCGTGGAGTGCCTTCACTCCACCTTTGACTGTAAGCAAAGTATCCACCAGAAGGCCTGCTCTAGCTGTCCCCAGTGTAAAGTACTTCTTCTATTCTTGTTTCTTCAATAACACAGCACACTGTCATTCAATCACTTAACATAACTATAATGAAGAATTTACTTTGGGGTTATTTAATTTCCATTGCCCCCATTGGAATATAAGTTCCCAAGAACAAGGACCATTTCTTACTCTTTCACCATACACACCCAGTTATTTATATAGTACTTAAAACAATTAGTGGTCTATAAAAACCTTTTGAGTGCATGAATATGTGAGTAGAATAAAATAACCACTTTTTCTTGAATATGTGATATGAGGGATTGAATTCATTGCTAATTACTGAGTACATATTATCTACTAGACACTGTTTTGAGAGTTTTATAAATCGTCACCTTAGTTATTCCTCTTAGTGTCCTTAGGATTTAACTGCAGTTTTTTTTTTTTTAGGTAAAAGAATTAAAGCACAAAAAGGTTTGGGGAACTTTTCCGACTTTGCATAGTATTCAATGGCAGAGCTGGAATAAAACCAGGTTCTCTGACTGAAAACTGTGCTTTTAGCCTAAATGCTAGGCTGCTTCCCATGGATGAATGAGTGGATTAGTGAAAAAAGTCTAAACAGCAGTCTGTGATCAGAGAACTTCTTAAGGTTCCTATAGCCAGAATAAAGGTTAGCCGAGAGGGCAGGGAAAGGGCATGGGGGGTAGGCAGACAGCAACAAGATTGGGCAGTGTTGAGTCATGAAGAGATGGAAAGCACGAAGAAGGTTAATTTGATGATTGCATGAATAAAGGCTTCATTTCAGAAGGAACGGTTAAGGAGCAGGGAAACTGGAGGCATGGACTTGGAAGATGGTCGTCTCTTAAGGACAGTGCTGTTAGTTACATGACTTTATCATCTCCATGAAGAAAGAATGCTGTGGGACACTGAAAACCCCCTCTAGAACAGAAGTGACTCCACTCCGGGTCAGGAATAGCAGGTGCCCCACCCTGTGCCTTTCCGTGAGGAGATACGGCAGACATGAAAGATAAAACAGGGGGTGTGGGATCAGAAGAAATTACGGAATCTACTTCACCTCTTTATATTCCTATATTCTTATATTTCTTCTCTCAATGGAGGGGTAACTCGAGGGGAAAAAGAAACAAAAATTTACACATCAGCTAACAGGTGGGGCTGGTAGAATCTCTGGTAGTTATTAATTCTAATACTGAAGAACTGAGAAGAGTGACAGCCATCCAACCTTGTCAGAGCCTTAAAGCCCACTGCCCTAAACATCTAGGACTTCAAGATTTCTAGAATAAATGGAGACGGTTAATGCCTCCACTCCATGAATTTCTCAGGAATTTCTTTTCTTGGGACAAAATGATGGCATCCCCAACTTTCTCCTCATTGTCTTAAGTCTGACTACCTTTATCCATGTGAGTTGATCCCTTTAAATGGCCTCCCTGCCTTTTGAGTCAGCAGGCCGTTAAGATGCTATCCCTCAAGTGACCCCCACAGCATGCTGAAATCAATGCATGGTACCCACCTCAACCCAGGGTCCGAGACACTTCACCCCATACGCATCCTTGCTCTAACCCACAT